CCATGGCGTACATCTCGCTGCTGTTCAAAATGTTGTGGCCTAAAGGGAAAAAAGAGAGAAAAGGATTAGAATGGGAAAGTGGTAAACAAATAAAAGAGGTAGGACTTACGCATGGGAATGCCCACAAAGATCAACTCGGCGTTGGTCTTCCGTGTGACGTTCTCAAAGATGGTGCTGATCTGCTCCAGGCAGTTCACCGTGACGACGTCGTTGAAGGTGGGCTCGGGCAGAGCCAATCCAAACAGTCTGGCCTTGTTCTTGATCTCGCCAGCGAAACGGCCCATCTCCTCGTTGGATTTGTTGTCGAAGCAGAAGACGCCCCAGGAGACCTCCTTGGCAGGCGAGTAGAAGCGATCACGCTGGTTTGAGCCGAGAACGCGCGGAGTGGGCAGGACGCGGCCGGTGATGCGAGCAGCCTGAGGCGTCAGCTCCAGGCCAAACTTGCCCAGCAGACCGTCGCTATCCGCCGCCTTGATGCTGGCCACCACCTTGGCCACCTTGTGAAAGTAGACATTGGGCGTGTGCGTCGACTTGAAGAGCATCTCCCGCTGGACGTTGCTGTCAAACTTGGTCTTGTTGAGGAACTGGGCGTCCTTGAGGTAGCACAGCTCCAGCGGCAGCAGCACCTTCTTCCCGGTCACCTTGACCAGTGGCAAGTTCAGCAGGCGGAGGCCGTACTCGCAGCGAAAGTAGTCAGCCACTGTGACGGTTTGGCCCTCTCGGTTCTCAAACTTGGCCTCGTGAGGGAACTTGTCGTGCACAAGGCCGTCGACGGAGTAGACGATCTCTCGTTTGCCGTGCTTCGTGAAGATCTTCAGGTGACGGATGATCTTGTTGGCGGATGAGAAGCGGCGTCGGTCGGGGCAGTTCTCCAGGTCTAGATCAAAGAGTACAAGGAGGTTAGAAATCAAAACAAACATTGGCAAACAAAAGCACTCACCTTTGGGGCTCATAGACAGCACCTCGCCGACCAGCGACAGCAGGTCGGTGAAACGCTTCGAAATGACGGCCGACGTCTTCAAGTGAAGGTTGAGCGCCAGGCCAAACTCGGTGACGCGCACCGAGTCGATGAAGCCCTGGACAAAGTCGACCAGACGAGCCTTCGGCGAGCTACTCACGTCGGTGAGGTCAAAGAACTTGCGCTGGTAGGTGGGGAAGGCGCGGCTAATGACGAACCGGAAGATGACCTCGAAGACGGCGATGATGCGCTCAGAGACGACCTTGCCTGAAGAANCGCCCAGGGCCACCGAGTCCACCCGCTTGAGGCTCACCTGAAAGGTGCGCGGACGGCCGTCGATGGGCATCTCCACGGACTTGCTCAGTTCAGCGGAAGCGGAGGAGGGCATGTTGAGGGGGCTAGTGGTGTAGAGGCTCTTCCAGCCGTCGTAGGCGTAGTGCACGCTGGCAAAGAGTTCGGGGTTGGCCTTGACAAAGGCCGTCACCACCGAGTCGGCGAACTTCTTGAGAAAGCGCTCCTGGGCTTCGTCGGCTGGACTGGGCTCACCGGTGGTAGAGGTAACGCGGGGCTCCTGTTCGAGCGGCTTGCCGCCCTTGCCGAAGCGCACCTTGCTGATGGTCACGTCGTAGTGGTGGACGGTCAGTCGCTGGTGGACGATGCGGTAGAAGTTGCCGAGCAGCGTCACCGGTGTGCCCGCCTGTCCGGGGGCCAACTTCTGCGCCACCAGTTGCCGGTTCTCCACGGCTTCGGGCATTCGCTGGGCGTCGCCGCCGGCAGTCTTGTGGCGCAGGCCGTCGTCAGCGTGGCCGCCGAAACTGCCGCTGCCGCCGCGGCCTCCACGAAAGTTGCCTCCAGGGCCGCCTGAAGAGCCGCCGCCACGGCCTCCTCGATCACCGCTGAAGTTGCCTCGGCCGCCGCCACCACCACCTCGGCCTCCGCGGTCGCCACCGCTGCCGAAGTTGCCGCGGCCTCGTCCGCCGCTAAAGTCGCCGTCCTCGCCTCGTGGTCGCTTGTTTCCATAGTCTCCCATGGCTAGGGGCGAATGAAAAATGGTAAAGAATTGAAATTAGAAATAGAAGAAACAAACAGACAAAAAGACTTACCAATGGTGCTGGAGAGAGTTGGGCTGAGAGTAAAAGCGGGGGGAGGGAGGGAGGGATAAGAGCGAGCGTTGATGAGCTGGGGGAATGGGGTGAGCTTGCTTGTTGAGGGGTGAGGGGGGAGAGATGTTCACTCGTCAAAGCCTGAAAGCGGTGTGAGCTCTCGTCGTCGACTGGGCAGCCTTTTATACCGTTCAGGGGAGAGGCGTCAACCTCAAGTTCAACCAGTGATTTGACCCTGAGGTTTTCCGCTGCTCGGTATCGCCGCCTAGCGGCCAAAGCCGTCAAATGCACTCTGGAAATGCATGGGATCCTATGGGAACGGACTTTTCAGGCGGCTTTTTAGAACTTTTAAAAGCGGGAAAACATTCTGCAGGACTAGTCGAGTAGTTTGGTACCACACTTGATGACTGAAAGCGCCTTTTTCCTACTGAAAACACCGTTTCAAGCTTTGCCGTGTTTACCTCTACTCTGGAATGTTCTATTTCTCTTTTCGGTGGATTCTTTGAGTGTGAGAGCTGAGTTGTTGTCACTGTGTCCATCATAACATTCTACAGCACTAGACGAGAAGTTTGGTGTCACACATGACTACTTTGTGGGACGGTTTCACACTGAAATTGATCCGTTCAGTTTTTTGCCTTGTTTTCTGCAACTTTTTCAACTGAACATTTTCATAAACAATAACAGAATACTTTAAAAGTAGTTGTTTATTTATTGATCGTCATAAGGGGGTGTATTCATAAAAACAGAGTGAGAATGATAACAGATAAATAAGTTTTGTCTCAGGAACAAAAGTAAAGAGTGTAACAGTTAACAGAGTGTCCTGACTTGATCTCACTAGGCGGAAAAGTCCATCAGCAAGTTCTGCCGTTGGAGCAGCGCAATTTGGTCATCGTTGAGGTAGTCGCGCAGATCATTGATCGCAGCAGTGTTGGTCTCCGTCTTCAGGTCATTCATGGTGAGCTGGTCATTCACCTTTGTTTTGCTGAAAGCGCTTGGAGCGTGGTCGTCGTCATCAAAGTTGATCAAGAGGGCACTTTTGGAAGTGCTGTCAATGAGCGCCGGACTCGCCGTCGCCGGGGTCTCGGCTGTCAGGAAGAAGGGGTCATCAAGGTGGTACTGGTCGTCGTCGTCGTCGTCATCATCATCCCATTCCCGACCATCTTCAGCATCAAGTGAGGTGTACCTACCACCACCAGCACTCGTCCCCGGCAGCAGATGATCCTCCATCAGGTCAATCAGTCCAATCTGGCGGTCCACCTTGTCGTACTCCAGCAGCAACTCCAGCATGTTGAGGTGCTCCCCGGACTGCGTCTCCTGCCTCGCCCTCGCCTCCTCCTCCTCCTCTCTTCGCCGCCTCTCCTCCGCCCGTTCCTCCTCGTAGCTGACCCGGGCAAAATTCTTCATCATCGTCTGTTCATCCTGCCAGGCGGAGTAGTACTTTGGAAAGAGGCGACTGGCTTCGGTGTGCTGCGGACTGCGGCAGTGCGACTGAAGGTCGCTGCACTCCAGGGCGCAGAACATGCACAGCTTGCAGAGGTACCGATTGCTGGCCTCGTCCTTGCAGGCGCTGTTGAAGGAAAAACTTGTTGTTAGATTCTAAATTATCTCTCCTTTTCTCCAATAACACTTGCCTCCAATTACCCGCTTCCATATTGACCAGATTCAGCAGGACGGTATCCTCCCAGCTGGTGATGCTGGCGGCAGTGGCATTCAGCTCAACATTGAGAATCGGTATGTTGATAGGCCTCAGAACGGCCTTCTCCAGGTCGATACTGTCCAGCATTGCCTGGTGAAAGGGCCGAAAGTCAAAGGCACGGTACGCCTTGCGTTGTTCGGCGCAGTTGAACATGTTCCAGCGAAAGGTCGGCCTGACTTCAGCTCCCGCCGGCCGGTTAGGCTCCCGCTGAAACCACCACCGCCGCCTGAATCGGCTTCGAGTGAGCAGCTGGAGGAGCGTCCGCCGACAGAGCTGCTGCCGCCGGCGGAGGCACTTCTCAATGCCGAGGCTCTCCGCCAGGCGCACCCCGGCCGGCGTCTGCAGCGTAATGTGCTGCTGCTTGATGTAGAAGAACTGACTGACGTGGTAGCGGACCAGGTTCACCAGCTCCACGTCCTCCTCGGTGAGCGTCGAGTCGAAGAGCAGCTCAATGTCCGTGTCCGGGTCGAGGGAGGAGGAGGCGTCAGGAGTGCGGGCATCGAAGCCGAGGCCGCAGAGAACGCCGCAGATCTCCTCCGGAAGGCCGCAGGACTTCTCCGCCGAGAGGAGGCGATTGACGCGCAGCTCCACCCGAGGCGCCCAGAGCATGCACATCAGCGCGGGAAAGTCGAGGCTGTTGGGCATCAGCGTGGTGTGGCTCAGCAGCAGCCGCTGCTGCTGCTGTCGTCGATGACCGCCGCCACCGCTGAGGCTGATCTCGCCGGCGACCAGCAGGCGGGCGTGCCGTGCCGAGCTGCTGTTGACCTCCGTTTCCGGCTCCAGGGCGACGACGTTGACGCTGCTGGGCGCCAGGGCGCAGCTTCGGGCGCCATTCAGTCGAGGCAGCGGGCGGAAGGTCAGCTCCAGCGGAGAGGTGGGGCCGCGCAGGTGAAAGACGTCCGCCGAGAGCTCCTGCTGGCAGCCTTTCACCTCGCCGAAGATCTTTATGCTGTCGAGCTGTTTTAGGGTGAAAAAAGGGGGGTTAAATGAAACAATGATAATGAAGTACTCTCGTTCTGCTTACGCTTAAAATGACCTCCCTAGGGCTGAGCAGCTGCTGCCCTCGGTCCTGACCCTGGTCAAACTGAAGCTCTACTTCAGTCTCTTCAGTAAAGTCGGCAACGCCCTCTGCGCTAAAGTTGGTTGTCAGCGAGTCGAGCCGGAACTCGGCCAGGCGCTCCGCCACCAGCAGCTCGCTCAGTGACCTGATACTGGCTCCTGCCTTCTTCTCCTTCTTGCTTCCTTCCTCCTCCTCTTGCGGATCGCCGCAGAGAAGGTCCAGCAGACTGGCCACCTCTAGCTCTTCCTCTGCCTGGTGCAGCGAGTACAGCTCCACCAGAAATGGACGGTCGCTCGGTCGCTCCTTCAGCTCCTTCAGCTCCTGGCCTCCGTACAGCTTGGCCTTGAAGGCGTACCGGTTGCGGGCGCAGTACTCCTTTAGAAAGGTCCGCACCGGTGGCGTCCAGCAGCCGGCGGCAGAACTGCCTTCAGCAGCCACTCCAGCGGCGCTCCTCGCCGGCCGGACACGCCCCAGCTGACACTGCACCGCCAGCGGGGCAATGCTAAACAGCAGATCGTGCACTCGCTGGGCGTCCTTTGATAGGCCAACAATGTCCGCCAGCTGCTGCTCGGTGAAGGCGGCACGCGTCTCCTCGCGCACTACAAAGGGCGACCGGCACTTCAGCGGGTACAGGCAGCCGGCTGGAAGGTCGTCCGTCAGGCCAAAGTCAATGTAGAAGATGAATGCCTGAAAGGAGTGAAGGTGTTATTTAAAAGTTGATCAAAAAAATATACTGCCCACTTACCGTCTTCTGGTTTCGCACAGCACGCAGCCTCACCACCTCAGCCCGGGCCCAGATGCACTTGGCCTGCTGCTGCTGCTGCTGCTGCTGCCCTTGTTGACCAATGGCCAAAGAAGCGAAGCAGCTCAGCAGTGACTTGAATCGGTGCATGCTGAGCGGCGCCAGTACCAGATCGCCCACCTGGCAGTCTGCTCGAACGCTGCCGCCCGCTGGTCGCCGCTGCTGCCGCCTCTGGGCACGCCGAAGGGCACTGGCCGCCTCCCCCAAGGGCAACGCCCCCGCGAGCAGCTCAATATTGGCGAGCATCCGCTCCACGTAGGCGTGCTTGTAGAGGAGAAAGAAGAGCTGCGGAGAGAGGAAGTTGGTGAGGTGGACGGCAATGATCGCTGAACACCTGCCGCCGCTCGGAACGGGCGTCCTGGGCAGCCGGTACTTGGGGGCGGTCTGGACCACTTTCACGGTGAAGTTGGTGGGGAGCTTTTGGCTAGTCTGGAGATTATTATCATTGGCCTCCTCTATGGAACCAAAGAGGCTTTCTTGAACTTTTCTATCAAGAGGACAAACAAATAAAGCTATGAATTGATGACTAAAACGTTAACAGTGCAAACTTACAGTAGAACTTGCTTCTGGTGGGCGGTCTCAATCTGCGGTGGGAGCCGGCGTAGCAACATGGGCGTTTTCAGTTTCTTCACCGCCAGGGCGTGGTAGACTGAAGCGTGGACGCTCGTTTCACTGCCACTGCATGACGACCAAAAGTGTGAGGCGCTCTGAGGCAGGTGCTGGTCATCATCATCCTCCCCGCCATTGCCATCATTATCATCCTCAAATCCATCAATGTCGACTGCAGCCACAATG